CAGCTACTACTATTGCTAACAAAGTATTTAAAAAATTCGCTTGGGATGGTTTAAACTAATTTAAGACTTTACAAACCAAATCAAACTAAATCAAATCAGTCGACTATCTTTTCTCCATACAACTCTACTAGTTCAAAAACCAAAAACTAAAAAAAAAAAAAAAAAAAAAAAAAAAAAAAAATATTACATACTTGTATTTATAAAATACGCTATTTTTGGTATCAAAAACATGCAATTAAAAAATAAAAATGTTTTTTAATAAAAAATAAAAATTTCTAATTAAATTTAATTTAAGAGTTGTATCCACTTGTCAGAAAAAACACGTTTTTAAAGTACGCTGTCTGGCGGTGAAATAGATTTGTTCGCTTAAAATTAGTGCAAAGCCAGAATCAAAAAATAATAATTTTTTCTTATAATTGAATACAGGTAATGAAGGAATAGTCAAAATTTTGATTTGTGACATAATGGCGGCTTTCCAAAAAGGTCGTTATTAAAAAATTTAAATTATTAACAAATTTATGTATATTCGATTTATATACAAAAAAATCGATATTTTTGAATTCACATGTGGATAAAAGTAATGAAAATTCAGAGACTCAGCATAAAAACCTATTAAAAAAACTTCCTATAATTGGTGCAAGTCTGATATTATTCTGATAATATGTAAAATAAAATATATTAATGTCAGGCTTAAATAAAGTTCATATTGTTATTAAAACATCCGCCATTTCATTTGAGATGTCTGTGTCCAAGTGTAACTCAACAACTATAAAACAATCAATTTACCACCTTCAAATCAACACAAGAAAGTACACTACTATAAACATGTACATAAACACTCAAAAAACAACCCACATTCGCATATGCATATGTATGTACGTGTGGCTATTACATAGCTGCATGGCCTGCCACATAAAAGCTTAGTTGCAACGTAATGTATGAAATAAGAAGCAATAAATAAAACCTGAAAAGAAAATTGCAAATATTATGTCAGTGCGAGCATCGCTGATATCACAGCGGCAGCAGCAGCACCAACAACAACAGCAACAACAACAAAGACAACTAAAAGCAACCGAAAAAAATGTTGCAGCTGCGGCAAGAGCAATCAGACAGCGCATCAGCGAAGCAGCCAGCCAAGCAAGTCAGCCAGTTTGGCTGGCAAGCAGAAAGTTAACATTACACACACACAGGCACACTTGTATATATGTAAGCACGCTAAGCCCGGAAAAGATAAAACAACGTTGTAAAAATGCAAACAAAGCAACAATAACGTGAAGAAAACGAAGAAATAAAAGAGCTAAAGCAAAAGCAATAATAATCACGACAGCGTCAGCGACAGCATTAACGGCAACAATAACAAACGTACACGAGTATACCTGAATTCGCCATGAAATGAAAGTGAGAGTTTCCAACGGCCTCTTTACCGCCTTCCCCCCCTTCCAAAACAATAATAAATGCAACAAAAATAGAAGCGACTGTTGTAATAACTGTAATAAAAGCCCAAACGGCGTACATCGTCTGATTGCCGAAGAAATGCTATTTATAATTGCGCTCGTGCGTGTGTGTGTTTCTGTTTGTTTGGCAGTTGTCGTCTGCGCGTTGATCGAATATTTTCCCACACGAAAACGAGTCTCGAACGGTAATTGCATTTCGAGCAACAATATATACTTGTATATTGTTTTTACAAGTGTGTACTTAGTTATATACGATTTACCCTTAGACATAAATATATACGCAAAAATGTACATACATATATAAACAAAATTTTTTTTTCTTTAATAATTTCATTTAAAGTGATTGTGTTACCAAAATATTTTAGTTTCTTGAATTGAAATTTCCGAAATTTTCGAAATTTGCGGGCCTCGACTTAAGGTAAGGAGCTAGTGCTTGCTTCATAAGAAAGTGGTTGGTAAATTTTTGCTGAGTATTCCTATTGTAACTCTTTTCGCTGCAGTTTCCGCGGCTTTCGAACTTTTCTTGAAGAATCGTAAATTGATTATGCTGCAGGTTGAGCATCTTTATTTCGCTCTTAAAAATATATAAACTAATATATTTTAATAAGATTATCTAGGCCTGAGAATATAGATCTAAAGCAATACCTGGACAATATTTCGGATTTCATAAACAAAATATTGGTAAATTATTTTCCTGTTGGTAAATCAAATCCTGTGTCGAAATCTGCCGAAGAGACTAAATCACTTAAAAAAAAAAGGGGTCCAAACAAAATGTTTTTTTTTTCTCGAGCTACATATAAAATACTGCCTCAATAGAAGCTCGCCATAAATTTATCTTCGATTGTATTTTCAATCTAATAGTAAGGGTTAAAGTTGTACTTCTGACCATTTCGACGCTCAATAAAATTCTGTGCTAGAATTAAAAAAAAAAAATATTTCACAAAATTTACTGTTAACATTTGATAACAGGTTTTTTTGTCATACTCACGTGTGTACGAAGGATCATTTCATCATTAGCATTATTTCATCAAAAGTTTGCTCAGCTCAGGTGCAGCTCCGACAAATCTTAATGTAACCAAACATTAAAATATACCTGTAATTTATATTAATTGCCATTGAAATCAATCAACAGTTGCTGCTTAGGTGCAGTTTGAGTTTTGAAGTACATTCTAGTCACCAACAAACCATTTCTTGGTACATACATATGTATATATTAAAATATATGTATGAAAACTCTTTTCTCGCTGATTATGTAATGTTGCATGCGTAAGCTTGTTGTATATGCAACCACCAAATTACAATAACAATAAGACGAGGCATTGCTTTAACAAGTCAAACAACTGGTGAAATGGTGTAATAAATACCACAACTCCATATACAAAAAACTATGACTACATGACACACATACTTATAAACATATGTGCTTTGCATGCTACTCCATTCATCATATTTGTTATGACATGCAGTTGATGTTGGTATTGGTATGCCACATTTGAACTAAACGAACTGGCATGGTTAAGGAAAAGTGTGGCAAGAAAGTGTAACACTTTTTGTGGCAATTACGCGCACTCGTCGAAAAAAGTAATCAGTGGAGCAAATAAAGGCATATTTATACATATTTAATCTGTATGCATATATATATGTATGTATGTAAATATTTATGCATGTATGAATGTATGAGCAAAATGTGTAGAAGAGAGGTTCGCTTGGGTGAGGAAGAATTTTTAGGGACAAAATATAAATTTCAAACTGAAAAAAACTAAATTAATGATAAAATAAAAAATTGTAAAATAAATTAAATAAAAAACGAAATGAAATGCAATTAAATACAATTTAAAAAATAAAATAAAATTACATTAATACAGTGTTAATTAAAAGCAATAAAATATATTCAACAATATTAAAAATAGGTATATTAAACTAAATAAAATAAAAACAAAATATTAAGTATAAAAAAAATAAAAAAATATTAGTAAGTGAAATGAAGTATATGACAATCAATAAAAAAATAGTTATGAAATGAAAAAAGTAACATGAAAATTTTTTTTATTTCAAAAAATTAATATTGAATTAAATTTAAATAATAAAAAAAGATAAAATATAATGAAATTTTAAACTTAGTTAAATAAAGTTAAAATAAATAAAATATTTATTTATATAAAAAAATAAACTAAAATCTTTAAAAAAACATTTATACAAAAAAAAGTTTAGTATATTTTAATAAACCCATAATAGTAAAAAAAGTAAAAAATAATTTACATTAAAAATTAACAAAATCAAACAAAAATATTTTTTTATTTTATACAAAGTATAATATTCTAGTTTTTTTTCTAGTTTATAATATAAACCAAATTAAATTAAAATAAAATTTATAAAATAAAAAAAATTCAAATTAAAAAATATTGTGTATTATATTTTAACGAAATTTAAAAAATTTAGTATTAAACAAAAAATAAATAAAGTTAAATTTAAATTAAATAAACTGAGATGAAGTATGTATGTACATTGAATGAAATAAAAGGAAAGGTAGTAAAATTAAACATTTTTTTCATTTAAAAAACTAAATAAAAAATAAATTAATTAAAAACATAATGAATTAGATACAAAAAAATTTAAAATAAAACCAAAATGTTTTTTTTTAATTTATATATTAAAAGTAGTATATCATACAGTTTTATAAAATAACAAAAAAATTTAGAATTAACAAAAAATAAAATACATAGTAATAATTTATAAGTATGAGTGTTAAGTAAAATATATAAATTTTATTTTAAAAATAATTATTTGCTTGTTATAAGCTTCCATTGACGTCGTAAAAGCTAATAGTACTCATATATACTTACTTATATGAATATATTAATGTATATGTGACATATCGTCACACAAATATAAACTTCTATGTGCCTCAAATAGCCGCCAGCTACTACACTTTGCCTTTTATTCAAAGAACTGTGCAGATTTTGAACACTTTTCCTTTCTTTTTCACATTACGTAACATAAGAAAGCAGTAAAATACATATCATATGCACATGCGCACACTCATACACATGCTACACTTTCCGAAAGCCCCAAAAAGCCATGAGCCGAAGTCGGAAAAAAATAACAACAACAAAATTTAAATGTGAAAAAAAAAACATTAAATAAGTGAAAGTTTAATTCCGCATTATTGCTACGGTCCAGTAAAATCCCATATATCAGCAGTTGTTGTTGCTGACTGATTGTTTTTGTTGTAGCCAGTCGACAGACCGGCAGCATGAAAATGATCAAAAGTAAAAAAATATGAAACATAAAACATAATAATAATACAGTTACTAAATGCAAGCAGATTGGTGCACACATACACACATATGTATGTACATATTTATATAATGAGCACCTATGTATATACATACTATAATATGTAAATATATGTATGGCGACGGCTGTATGCATATTATATTAGTATAAGTATGCCAACATGTGCACAAACGCCACAAGTAAAGAAAGAAAATACATACAAATATATATAAATATATATATATATTTTACAGCAAAAAATATATTTTACCTATGTGTGTTAATATAGGTATACAAGGTATGGCAACTTAAAAGATTTAAATTACATTTTTTATTTGAATTTTGGTATGATTGCTTGCTGACTTTTTTCCTCTTTCTTCCACTGTTCTTTACATACATATACACGCAATATGGTATCATTAACGCCGACAACTAACGCGAGCAACGCCAGCTGACAATGCGTTGTCGTAGTCCCAACTGAATTGAGCAATCGCGTCGCTGCTACTATGCGCATGCGCAGCACTCCCTTCGCGCTAACTTCTACTCTTTCACATACATATTTCATTTAATTGTTGTTGTTCTTTTTCACTTTCTGACCAAATGACCGCTCGCTTGACCGGTTGTGCCACTCGAGCGCTTCTAATGAAAGTGAAAATGCCAATGAAATTTCGTGTTAACCTTTCTTTTTCCGTTTTCGCGCAGGCGTTGTTGCTAGTTGCCACCAAATTTACCAAAATTATGCAAATTAGTTTTAATTGCATGCGAAACTCGGTTAAAATTATCGCTGCCTCGGCCTTTTTCTTCCAAATTCGACTCTTTTTCACAAACTATACGCTGATGAAGCCAGCAGATAAAGTGCTTTGTTTCTATTGTTGGCGTGCATAAGCCATAAATTTGGTTGTTCTTTTTGTTTTATGGTCTAATCTTTTGTTCGCGCTTTAATGTACCGCTTCCTATTGAAGCCGAGCTATAGACGGGAAATGAGCAGATAATCATATTTGCATTGGATTTGCATGTTTTTGGTAAAATGTGCGAAAGTTTCTAAAAATTACAAAAAATATCTATGTATATGGAAAAGATATGTTATAATAATAAATTTTACTTTCATGCAATTTCTTTATAAGGATTTATTTAATCGCCAACAAATGCCGTTTTTGGTAAGCGCATTAAAATAGTGTGAGGTTTTAGCTATAAATAAAAGTTGACAACTAACATCGGAAATAGATGGTGATGATAGAGATGAAAGTTGAGCACAAGTCCAAAGAAGGGAAAATATGAACTTGTAGATATATATAAATATAGAAGAAAACTATCATGCTTACATAGAGAAAAAGTCAGCATACTGTAGCAAAGCAGGAGGAGTTAGAGAAACTCTAATCTCAGTAGGAATAAAAATAGATATTACTTCTGGAGAGAGACAGAATTGTTATTTAGATAAAATAATTAGAGATAAAAAAAATCCACTTCCTTTTTCTCGTATCTGACTCGGCATCAAAAGCTACGTGCGTTGTTGCTCCCGTTTTAGCCTTTAGTAATATCCGCTTTTTACTATCGTTTTTAAAATTATATCGTTGTACATTCTCTTTATATAAACATTATTTAACTCTTTTCTCATGCTTTCCGAATTTAGAAAAATTTTATAGCTGCAAGTTCTCTTAAGAGACTTTGTGTTATTTCAGCCTTTGTGTATACATTTTAATATACAACTTCATATCACCTTATCACATGATTCTAGAGGAATATTGGGGGAATACCAAGTTGAGAGGTCTTAAGCAGACAGTTGAAAAGCAAACAGGGAAACTGAGAACCAATAACATGATACACTACATATATTACTTTTGGCTACCTGGTATCGTTTTTTTAACTTCTTGGCCTTCATAAACTTCTCTCACAAGTCCTCATTTCTTATACATTTATTTCAAAATAAAATCATTTTGTCTACTAATAATATTTTTGTGGTAATCTCAAGACTTTGTTGACTCAGACTCATCTCGAATAGAAAGTTAAAGTTAATTCTTATTACGAAAAGCCCTTGAATTTAAAAGCAGTAGTTAGGGTAAAGACAGCATAACCAAAGAAAGATGTACTTGATTTTGAATAAATGTGTCATTGTTGACAACAAATATCTTTTATTTTTGCATATTCTGCAAACTTCAACTCATTCATCCTAAATGCAAAATCGAGCAGCAGCTGACCTACAAAGCCATATTTTCATTTATATACTACAGCTACATATTTGGATTCACCAAAAAGTGCTAAAAACGAGAGTTAATGTGATTCAGGTTTTGCCATCAACACTACAAGAGTGTCTCGAAGTTTTTCAACTGTACATGCTATACACAGCCTATATTTGTAAACAGTTGAAGATTAAAGCATCATCGAAGACATTTCTCTTTGGTTCACTTTCGCAACTTCTATACGTACTTCTGCCGAAGGTACAACAGGCATTTCTGCGTATGTGCACGCGTCTTGGGCTTGCTGATCTGCGGTTAAATTGCTATTGTTGTTGTTTTTGTTGTGTGCTAAAAATATGCACACAGAATTGGGTCCATAAATTACACAAATTCAGTTCACCATAATTTTTTTTCCTCTGTTTCACTTTTTGTTGTTGCTGTTTGCTGCATGCTGAGGCCCTTCCTCATTCTCTCAGTTCCCTTCATTCAGCATCTTTGGCGCATTTCTTGGGCACTTTTTTCTGTTGCTCGCATGCTTAGGTGCGCTGTGAAAGTGAAAATAAAAGTAAAAGTTATCAGCAGTCAAATATATGCACATATATATGTACATATGTATACGTACATTAATATTCATAGTTAATTTTTTTTCGTAGAGCTTGTATTACCAAAATGGCGTGTTAAATTACTAAATATAGTGGAAGTCCGACCAACCAGGAAAGCAGTGAAAAAATCTGCGCAGTCTCTGTGTCGCTTTTGTGCATATTTCTGCGCCGAATTTGTTGCAAAAGTCATTTATTTATGATTTATTATTTTCCTTTTTAGTTTTGAGTTTTGACTTTTGTAACTGTGTCGCCTTGTTGTTGCCACTTTGTGTTTACTATTATCTCTTCTTCTACTTCTTTATACATATTGTTGCCGTGTAAATCTGCGCAAATTATTCTTTATTTATTGTTTTTCCTTTAAACAACAAAACACACACATACACATATACAATAAAATACATGCACAAAATTTCGTGCCAACTTTCATTCACCATCTTACATTTAAGCTCACATTTGCATAAATCCCATTGCCAATTTTCTTCTTCATATCCACCTATTTTTGAATTTTTATTTGTTTTTTTCTCTTCACCTAAAATATTTTCCGATTTTTTTTCTGTGAAATTTCTTTAATTTACATTATTTTATTACTTCTTTGTTTTCAGGCAGGAAATCTCCATTTTTGGGTTTCATTTGCAAAACAAACGGTAATTTTTTTTTGTTTTTTGTTTGTTTGCATTGCGTTGTTGTTGTTATTTTACTTTTCTGCAGTCTGCTTTTGCTTTCATTGTGTTTGTGTTTGTCTTTGCTTATGCCTTTGTTGTTTCGTTGTTATTGTTGTTATTGCTATTGTTTTTGCATATCTTTTATTTTTTCTCTTGTATTTAAATAGTGAGAAAGTTTAAAATGAATGCCTTAATTGCCTTGTTTGCAAGGTTTTATGTTAGCATTAAACGAAATATATAAATAAACAGATTTTTAAATGGAATGAGTTATTTGCATATATTCACTGTTGAATGGGGCGTATGTCGAAATGTACGGTTTTTGAATACATTATATTTTTTATAACTTTGCTTATTTTATTTTTATTAAATTTATTTAAGCGTAAACCTGCAATTTCATCGCTGTGATGGCAATCGAAGCTTTAAAAATAGTAAAATTATTTTTACACAAAAAATGTTTTTATTTTCATTTTCATGAAAAACTTCAAAAAGTATTGTTTATTGATTAAATAAGCGGCTGTTCCTTAGAGAGGGTTCACAAAGTATCGTTGATAGCAACCCGAAATTTTTCTATTTAATAGAGCTTCCACTTTTGGTGAATGAAAATCAGAGATTTTTTTTTTCATTTAACAAACTTTATTTCAATTTCGATGGCAAATTTGAAACGAAATTGCGATGGTCGCAGTGCATATGCTCCCATAAATCTGAAAATATTTATTATAGTTGCAACCTCTATATTTTTGCGGCTAAGAGAGCTTTCACTTTTCATTAGCTCAAAGCTTGAAAAACAGTAAATATTAAATAGAAATTTCCTTGAATTTCTATTTTGTTTTGTTTTTCCTAATATATAAAAAATCACACACTTTCTTAAAATCTTTAATTCAGAGCCTTCGAAAGCAAGCTATGTTTCTTTTACTTTAAACGAAGCTTTTTTTAAATATTTGATTTAAAACTTTGGTAAACAAACCCAAACACCTATTTTGTGCCAAAATGAGCTTTCACTTTTATTGAATTCAAACGAAATTTGCTTTATAAAATTTTCATAAGCATGAATTAGTTATAAGCTTAAATTCATATTTACATTTTTTTGAAATGTGAAAGGTTATTTAAAAATGTTATACTGAATAATAATTAAAAAATTTTTACGAAGCAGTTTTACATCTAAAATTTTCTTTTTAAGCAAATTTACATTTCTGTAATAATCAATTTCGAAATAATTAAATAAAGTGAATTCAAAAACAATAATTGAGCTATTAACTTGAAGTAAAATATTTAACTATTTTTGTAGAACTTGTCAATAGGTAATAAAATTGATATAAAATAAATATCGGCGACTCATTATGAGTGTATTGTTACTTTCTCAAAAAAGATTGAGTGATTTCATAAAAAATCTTATAAAAATTATAATTTATTATTGTATGTATATATAAATATGTATACGCATAAATATAAATATTAGGGTAGGCCGGAAAACGTAAAATTTTTTTCTTCATTAGACAACGTGAAAATATCGTCAGAAAAAACGAAAAAAAAAATGATGGTAAAGTTTGAGCTTTTAATATTGATATTAACAGGTGGCGCATTGTAATTTTCGACTTCCCGTATAAATAACACAGGAATATTTTCTTACTCTATTTGGGTGTTTAATGCATTTGAACAAATTATTGTATAATGAAAATGAAAACTTAGTCTTGTAGGGAATTTAACTATATATATTAAAAGTATATGATTTTTTTGCCAAGTCGACCTCGAAAGTTATTCAACGTCAAAGTAAATCTTATATTGTAAAGGATATTTTTTTTTTACAATTGTCTACATTATCCCGCAATTTATTGCCCCAAGTCATAAACTACTTTATTTTTATAATTTTTTGTTTTTTCTTTTGATAAATTCATCGAAATTTTGTTTTTCACTTAATAAAAGAGGTGAACAGACATTCTATAATTACATATTTGGAAGTACTTATTAAAAAGTTTAGAAGTTTTTAGTATGTTATATAATTAATAAATATTAATAAATTTATACATAAATGTATATAGCACAAAACACAAAAATATTAAATATACATTTTTGGTTAAAGATATACGTCATTTTGTTGAAAAATTGGTTTCGACATAGCCAATTTTCGCTAAAGGAACACTGTAAGCCTAAATTAGACCATTTGTTATTCGTATTGATTTTTTATAAAAACATAAAATTGTTTGCCAAGAAATTTTAAAGACAAAAAAATTTAAAATCGACAAGCTTATATACTTAGATCTATTTTGGAGCAAAATATTAATGACATTTTAAAATTGGCGTCTAAAATAAATTAGAAAATAGTTGAATCTGCACCACAAAGGGTCGTATCAATAATAAATCGGTTACAAATCTCTATTGTAGTGAAAACTGTAAATTCGTAAATACCTGAAGCGCTTGCAAAACTAAGACTTTCTAAGGCATACTATAAGACAACAGACTATAGACTATAGACTATTGCGAAATTTTTAATATTTTGGTAGGATTTCAATCTGGTCGTTGCGGGTTTTCTAGTTGGGAAGCGTCAAACCTATCCGCTCCATTCAACTCTCACTGCCAGTATTCTCAACTATTTATTGCCTTTTGTCTACAAGAATTTTTCCCAAGTTTATTCAATGGAAAATTTGGTCCAATATTTTTTTTAACTGCCACCTTTTCCTATATTACTTTACAATGAAAAAGTTTACTTAAACTGGGATGGAAAGAGTATTGAAATCAGTAAACTTATAATTTTAAGAAATACCACTTTTATACCAACATTATCATACAATCAAAAATATTAACATAAAGACAGATATGCCCACATGAAATATAAGAAAAGTCGACCAAACGTGCAATTTCTAAGTTGCAAGTATTATTCAATTGCAATCGTAACACTTACCACAAATGACAAGCAAAGATTTCGCAACATTTGGTAATAGACCGAGAGACAGACAGACAGAAAGCAGAAATAGTAAGACGGTAACAAACATATGATAGGCAAAGCCAGTTTACAAAGCAACAACAACCAGTTGGTAAAATAAGAAAAGCAAGACCCAAGCGAAACGGAGTCAAATGAAAGTGAGAGTGAATAAGAAAGCGGAAATTTTTAGCTGGCTGGTGAACACGAAGTTTGAATTGAAGTTGAAACCAAAGCTGCAGCTGAAGTTAAAGCTGAAACTGCAGCAGACAGAAGAGTTAAACGGGAAAAGAAAATATGTATATAAAAAAGTTGTTAGCCGAGAGTTGCTCTAGAGGTGGGCAAGAAAAAGCGCCAGTTGAAGGAATGAGTAAGTGGATGAAAATAATGCATAAACGGATATATAGGTAGTATATGCGTCTTAAAACGTTGGCTATACACACCAAAAGATTTGCATCACAGATAATCCATTCACAAAACACAAATTATAAACTTGCCGAGAGAAACATGTAGACGTAGCAGAGAAAAAATGCTGAGCGTCAAAAATAAAATGCGAAGATGAATTTAAGGCAAGAAAGCCAAAGAAAACTCAATAGAAAATTTGTACACCAAGAAAGCGGTAAAAGCTTTCAGTGAGCTTTAAGCCAACAAAAGCCGAAAGCTTTGACACAACAGTCGATTAGCGTTAGTATAATATTCGACTGCATATTACTTCAGTAAACACTCAAATGGCAAAGCGTACTAGTGTTATAGGTCACGCATGCGCCGAGCTAAGCGCTCCAACTGAGCGCGCACTCTCGCCGTATGAAAACCCAGAAGAAGCGAAGCGCGCAAAGTAAACAAAACACGCACGCACACACACATACGCAACAGATGGCAGTGATAAAAATCAGGCAATGTATAAACCAGAAAAAATTTCACTTTCATGGAGAATGAAAGTGTTTCCTTTTGTTGTTGCAGTTGTTGTTATTTGCTGTAATTTTTTCAACACTCCACATGGCAATGTTTCGTCATTTTTCAGCTGAAAGTCAGCCAAAGTCAGATTTTACAATGGCCTATTGTGCCTCATGGCCCCCCATATATACTATACATACATATATATATATATAACATATGTATATGTCATATGTATATGTTATTACACTTTTTCTCATATGCTTATTTGCTGAATTTATCATTTTCGCTTGCATGCTTTCTGGTTTTCCTTGTTTTGGTCAATTGCTTTCTGCCAGTGCATGTGTGCGCATGTTTGTAAATATGTATGTATGCGTGTATGTTTGTATGCATACATGCCATATGCACAGTCATTTGGCTTTTATTACCAACCCACAGCGAGCCCACTCCACTCCACGCCAAACAAAATTTGTATTTATTTTTTGTTATTGCTGTTGCTTTTGTTGTCGTACTTTACGATGTAACTTTTGAATACGGAAATGATTTTATACAGCGCGCTGTTGCCGCCTGACTTTTAGACTCACATGTGAAGTGTCGATTTGCAGCGTCGCTTGTACGTGTCTGGGTGGATATGCGCCGCGCGCATGCTTTGTTATTGGCTGTATGGCTGCGCATGCGCTTTTACACTGTTCGTGGCGCTGTTGTCTCTCGACTGTTGTGTGTGAATTTTTATTTACTTTTTGTTGTTTATTTCTGCATGTTTGCATTTCTTGCATTTTTGCCTTGTAAACGCATCGTTTGTATTTTGTTTTTACCCCTGGGTTTGCCTTACTTTGCTTAGTGCCAATTCGCATTTCTGTTAATGTCTTGATTTATGCATTAGCGTTAATTTAATGTGGCTATTTGCCATCTTTTATTGAATTATTAACCTACTTCAATCAACGTATTTGATTTTTTTTATATCCATATAATCAATTATGATGCGTATTTGAAGTGCCATATCAGTCAGTTAGTAAATAAAAATTTATCCGCATTTAATATCCGAATGGATTTAGAAATAAAATTTTTTCAAGGGTTTTAAATAAAATTATTTTTGTGAAAATTATTAAAATTTAGGAAATAAAAATAGAAAATTAAATTTTTTTTTATAAGCTTGGCATTAAATTTTTTTTTTTTATTTTAAAATCAGGTATTTTGGATTTATTTTTTTTAATTCGGTTTTTGGTTTAAAAATTTTAGTTTTAAATTTGTAATCCGGTATTTGTTTTTAAGTTTTTTTTTTAATTTTCAATCTATTATTTGAATTAGAAATTTTAAAATTATTTTTAATACTGATTTTTAGGTTTGCAAATAAAAATAAAAAATTACTTTAAATGTAAGTTCAATTGCTTTTCTAATGCATTATTTGCATACTGCTACGTTGCCACTCTATTGGCAACTCTTATTCGTTCAAAAACACTATTTTCAGATATATGTTATTTATATACTTCACTAATAAAAGGTGATGCTAGTTATTTCATATAAAGCGCAATCGGTATTCTTATCTAAGGACTTTCTTTGCAGAGCTCGTGTCATTAAACTCTAAGAAAATGATATCAAAAAATTCAGGTTTTTCTTTTCTTACATACTTTACCCATTTCAATCACACAATGAGGGACTGAATTTCCAATTTAGAGAACTACGTCTTTCCCAGCATAGTCTGGCATACGCACCGGAATGAACTCAGGTTTTCAACAGTCAAAGAGGATTTAACAGTCTTTGCAGCATTTCTCAAATTTATTGGGAAACTTATCAAAAGATTGGCGATACAAGTCCAGTTTCTTCGAAAACTAATCGATCATATACACATAACATGGAACTCTCACAAGGATCCGTTCTTTACTTTCACTCGTAATTGGCATAACGTTCTGATTTTTTTTTAATTTTTCACATTATACAATTTAAGTGACATAGATATAGAATTCTTTATAGAGTCGTTGAAATGCGTCTGAGAAATGTTTTTTAAGCTTCACCACCTAAGATCTCAAGGGAAAAAACACTAAGTCTCATAAGAAATGCTTACAAAATGACTATTGAATTTGGAAATCCAAATTTATGAAGACTTGCGAATAGTTAGATATTTGTATAGAAAGAGTAGGTATACATTTGAAGAGAAGGAGTATGTATAGTTTACATCGTACCCAAAGGGCGCGTCACATTTATAAAAAAGTTGGTACAAATTTAGAGTAAACTATTTAATTTCAAGTATCTGGGCCGAAAACAGGCAGTATTATAAAAACGTGATTGTCTAAATATAATTGTAATAAATACTAGAAACAAAATATACACTAGAGCTCATACTATTTTTAACACTAGCCAAGTGTTAAATAGATAAACTATCAGAAAAAAATTTTAAGTCGATTTAAGACGTCAAAATCTATTAACTAAAATCAGTCACTTACCTGTTAAACCTTCAAAAACTTAGAAGTGTCATCAAATCATTAGACAATTGACAACGAGCAGGTAAGACATAGTATCACAGACAGTTAATACAACCTAAAATAAATAACGTTATACACAAGAAAGCGTTAAGATAAACATACCGTTAAGCACTACTTGTCCCGAGCTGTTTAAGAGGATATTAGACTAATAAGCACACACTTAAGTGCAAAGCACCAGTTATACGTAGACATCATCAGACTAATTAAGTGCACGTTTTTACAATTTATTTATACATAAATACAATAATATTTAAGGCGTGAAATTGCACACTCTCCAATTCATATTACCACATAAAATACTTGATTAATTTGTATTGAATAAAATTAGTAGCATGCTATATACTTGTAATTCACACTGGCAACTATCTTTTTGCATTGCAGGCAAATCCTCATCGAATAGCAAAGAAGTTATCTGCGGCGATGACAAATACAAAGAAGAGGGTGATCTCTGGAATGTGGAGGCACAAACCGCATTCCTCGGACCGAATTTGTGGGACAAAGCTCTGCCGTACGATGCCGATCTTAAGGTAACACAAGTTAGTATCATTTCTGCTGCGTAGTGAAGCGTGCTTTACATTTACATACACATACGTATCTACATGAATGAATGTCTCATTTCAAATGCTTATTTTCGTACAACACACAAATGTCACAACAAAAAGTTTTTTAGTTTTTTATTTGAATAAAAAACATAAAAAATTATTGAAAAATATTTTTAAAAATATTTTGAAAAAGTTTAGAAAACAATTTGGAAAAAATTTTAATAAAATTTTAAAATTGTTTAATAAACAAAAAATTTTTTCACATTTTGAAAGTTAATTAGAAACTTTTTGTAAACATTAAACCAAAAAAACTTCACAATAATTTGAAAAATTTTTAAGAAACTTTAAAAAATAGCAAACAATTTTGTTAAAATATTAAAAAAGTTTAAAAAAATGTTGTTAAATTATTTTCAAAACAAACTTGGAAAAATTAAAAAACTTCGAGAAAGTTTTGAAAAATTATGTTACAACATTTGATCAAATATCGAAAAAACTTAAAAAAATTTAAAATAGTTTTAAAAAGTTTTGAAAATGTGTTTTAAATCGTCTTATCGAAGATCTTTTTAAAAAAATTTAAAAACAATGTTGAAAATATTTTTAAAAAATTTAAAAAAAATTGGTTAGAGGCGGTCAGTTAACGAGCAGCGGCTTGATACTGCCTTGACAGTTTTTGCCAATCTTACATACACACACACACAAGAAACTACACAACGTACCTTTTCATAATTCATGAGCTTTCAAGCTTTCGTAGTGCAAATCGCTTTCTATATAAATTGAAATTTACATGAAGTAAATAAAATAATTCAACGAAGAATGCAAAAAAGTAGAACAAATACGCATACAGCATACCCACTTACAATACATACACACACATAATGCAACGTGAGTGTTATTTGTGCGTGAAAAATGCCGGTATATGTATGTATGTGCGTGTGTATTATATTAAAATTGTATATGTGTATTTGTGCGATTTAATTGCATTCAATTTTGAGCTTGTTTAATGCAGTGCTAGAAATTTAATACTTAATTATTATCTCAGAGACTAGTTGATTTTAAAAATGGAAAACACGCGCAAGTTAAATGTGAGACACTACTGACGCCAAATAGTTGTTGTGGGATTGAATTTTTTTTTCTTATATTATGATAGTAGTTCGGCGATTACGCTGATAATAGCGGATTTACATGTCATTTATAAGTGATAGGACTTTGATTCGTATAGTTATGGAAAATTCTTAACCCAGAACTTGAATTACTCATAGCTGTACAGGCAGCTCTTCGAATCTGATACCTACCGAGTTTCAATAAATAGCGACTGTCACGTGTGACTATCGCTCAACGAACGAATAAGATCAACCTCATCTATTCAACGTGAAAAATTATCTAGTTGTATTTTTAAAACAAAGCCCCTCTGAAGCAGCTACTTTTTGAATTCTCTAAACGGGCAATGCGAAAGCTCAGTAATAAATAATAATGTTTTGAGTGAAAGCTCTATGATTTCTCCAAATAAAATAATGTGCCTACTTAAGCTAAAACTCAATCTAGATACTTTTATTTTGTAACTATTATAGGTTTCAAATTACATCTGTTGAGCTTAAATATTCCACACAGCCAAAAGTTTTGGGTATTTAGAAAAAATGGAGCTCCTTTGAAAGCACCAATTTGTGCGCTTAACATGAGAAATATTTACCATACGTCTTACAGTCACCGAAATAAACCTTTGCCTATTTTATATCCATATTAACACTGCTTTTCCGAACTCTTTAACCCCTTTTGAGGCCAGCGATTATATGGCGAGCACTTCCGTTATTTAAATAAACTCGAAACTCTCAGCACGATAACTTTTATTAGATTCATTAAAAGCCTACTCAATAGTTTTAAATACGGTGCAGATAGTTAATAATACAATTGAAGAGCGTTGCCAGCTGCTTAAAAAGTTTAAGTTAAAGAATTATATTAACAATAAATTTTCAAATATTGGTATCGGGCAAGATACAATAGATCTTAAACTTATGTTGCAAATATATTTTATCAGAGTTGCCACCTGTTTAATTTATTTTTAAAATTATAATAAAAAGAACAAAAAAGAGTTCTAAAATTGTTGTTAAAAATATATCAGCAGGGTTGCCACCTATTTTAAAATTTTATTTAAATGAATTGAAAAGAGTTATGGGTAACAAACTGAAGGTTTCATTGGACAAGACTTATAAAGTAGAACTTAAAGCAACCACTTAGCCTCAGTTTGATAAATTTGTTTTTTTTTTTTAATTTTTGCATAATTATACCCCAAACAGAATATATTAAGTTTGCCACGATCTTTGTAACACTCAAAAGAAAACATCAGAGACCCTATAAAGTATATACAAGTATAACAGCTCAGCATTAGGATCTAAGTCGATTTAAACATGTCCGTCTGTTTGTCAATCTGTCCTTCTGTATATATACGACTAGTCTCTCAGTTTTTGAGATATCGCACTGAATTTTTAACCCGTCTTTTTCTCACCAAGAAGCTCCCCATTTTTCGGAACTGACTATAGCATGTTGCTGCGATACAAACTGAACGATCGGAAGAAAATACTTGTAGGGAAAACTTTTTCATTTGATTGATATCTTCAAGAAATTTGGCATGGATTATTGCCTAAGGCAATGATGCAATCTATGAAGAGATTGTTTAGATCGAGTCACTATAGCATATAGCTGCCTTGTAAGGGATCTTTTGTATTTGTGCAGGGTATTATAGTTTCGGTGTAACCGAATTTAACGTGTTTTCTTGTTTTTTTTTTAACAACAATCACTGTTTGCAGAATTCGCTGCTACAATAGCTTCGCTTACGTTTTTAGAAACAAATTATATGCGTGTTCTTTTGTTAACGCAGAAAATGTGTGTTATACGAAAATTAATGAATCCAAACTATTTTGAATAATTTCGAAAAATTTATTGCTTGTTTTTTCTTATTATATTTTATATAAAATATTAAAGAAAGTTCATTTGGAATAAAAACTAATAATTTGCTTTTGTTTATTTCTCGCTTGCAACAAATGTGACTACATACATATATACATATATATAAATAAATGTTCCACAACAAACAGTATGCAGATTTGGATGAATTCTTGTCGGAGAACAATATACCTGATGGCTTGCCCGGTACCCATTTGGGACACTCAAGTGGTTTGGGGCATCGATCAGATTCGCTGGGCCATGCAGCTGGTCTGGGGCTGGGTCTCGGCCATATAACGACGAAGCGTGAACGTTCCCCATCGCCATCGGATTGTATAAGTCCGGAAACATTGAATCCACCATCGCCGGCTGAGTCAAGTGAGTAACGAAATGCAAAGTAGTTTTGAAAAAGTTTCTTCTTATTTTTTATGATTGATTAACCTCTCCTTTGTTGCTAGCATTGATGTTTTACTATAGCTTGAAATTTTTAAGTAATCCCATCTTGAAATCATTTTCAATGTTGTACCTAATTGTGTAAATAAATAGACAACTTTTTGTAAAATAATAATAAGTTTTGAATATATTTTCTGGTTTTCAAGTAAAAGACAAAGAAAACGATAGAGAAAAGTAGAGAAAAGTGACAACTAATCTCTAATTATACATATTGTATTCAATCGCGGGATAAGTTATAGGAAGGCGGTTAAGAAACAAAAAATACACCTTCATTCGTATAAAGTAATTCGTAACTTTATTAATACCTCAAATTTCAATCGTGAAATATTGTGTCATACAGTATCCTCATTGAATATCAGACCTACTGTTGAAAGTATGTTCTAAACAAAATCGTAGTGGTCCAGTTGTAACCAATACATTGTCTACCTCCACCCTAAATTCTGCTTGCAATAATTTCGTTTTGTCATTTCTCTTAACTTAGTTTACAACGAACAGTTTGTGAAGCATTGTTAATCTTGAAGTATTTGACATTTCAGGTTTCTCCTTTGCATCGTCGGGGCGGGATTTCGATCCGCGCACCAGAGCATTCTCCGATGAAGAGCTTAAACCGCAACCGATGATCAAGAAATCACGCAAACAGTTTGTGCCCGACGAACTGAAGGACGATAAATATTGGGCACGTCGCCGGAAGAACAACATTGCCGCCAAGCGATCACGTGACGCACGCCGCCAAAAGGAGAACCAAATAGCGATGCGTGCCAGATATCTGGAAAAAGAAGTGAGTGCTAATCAAATATTTGTTTATAAATTTAACACTGATTTATTGTTGTTGTTTCTTATATTCAAGAATTCGACATTACATCAAGAAGTGGAACAGTTGAAACAGGAAAATATGGACTTGCGTGCGCGTCTCTCAAAATTCCAAGATGTGTAATGTTAAGAAGTACCACCTCTCCCCAAAACAAAAACTTATTTAATATATATATACATAAATGTAAATGTATATATAAATGTGTATATCACCTCCAAAAACCACAACCACCAATCTAAAATGCAACCAAGCAGGCAACAATATATGTATAAAATAAGAAAAATTAAATAACCGTTAACCATAAAGGCGGCAAAGAAACTGGAAATGGTAAAAACATGAACCGATATGCAGCACACACAGCGTATAGCCTCATGCTACACACATACTTTCACACACAAACACACACACGCAATTGCCTATCTGTATCAGCGGTACATTAACATAAATATAAATAATATATATGTATGTATATATAAATAGTATACAAAAACAAAAACATACAGCTTGTAATTGAGGAGCATAGAAATGATAACGGTACATAGAAATTATGTTAAAGTGGTTTTTAATTAAATTTAGAGTTTGTGCGAAAAATGAAAACACAAAGAATAAGAAAAATTCAACACTAAAATAGAAAGAATGTAACAGAAAGCAGGCAACAACAACTAACTCCCACAAACTGCAACAAAAGATGTGTGCAAAGAACAAAGAATAAAAGTAAAAAGCAAAAGAAGCAGAAAAATCAGAAACATTTACAAAATTAAATATAAAAATACAAAATTCAGCTCCAACCATAATTTTAAAGAAGAAAGAAAGAAAAAATAAGAGAAAAAACCGAAATACAAAAGCCAAAATCGTCTAAAGTCTGGCTAAAATTAAACTAACTTATTATTGAAACAAAGCGAAGAGAAAAGCAAATGTGAGGAGGCTAGTTGTGGAGGTCGCGCCAGAGTTACTTGCATAAAAAACAGCAACAAAAACAACACTAAATAGTAACGGCGAAACTTAAAATCGGCAAGAAACATGATGAAACATTAAACTTCTTAAATGAAACACCAAAAAAAAAAAACAAGACCACAACAACTATTACAACAAACACAATGAAAATAAACATATGTATGTATGTATATTAGATAAGTAATAATTTATAAACAAAAGCAGACGTATACATGCAATCGGCGCATGCAATAAAACAACTACAAAGATATATGCTACATAGATGTATGTGCTGCATATTAACAACTACAACAACAAACAAACATTATTTTAAAATTATTATTAAAATTAAAGCAAAAGGAAATCAAGAAAGTCAGACAAAAAACAAACTGCTTACAAATATTTAGACTAAATTAATATAAATAATTAGAAAATAGTTGCATAAAGTTATAAATATAAATAAAAGTTTATAAATAAATAAAACAAAAACAAAACAATAAGAAGCACTATGTGAAGTTTAGAAATAATTTTAAAAATAATGGTCAAAGTTAGAAAAAAAATGCATTGCTTATATACACAAAATTACACATACACATATAAACACCCATACATATATACATACATAGGCACACAAAGCCAGCTGAACAGAAAATGTAGATTCTTTTCTTACGCAACACGCTGCAAATGTACAGACAGTTGCGAAAAGTCGCCAGCAATGTGAACTAGAAAGGTGCGCAACATGTTGCAGCAACATATCTGTTGTATGGAGTGGAAAGTAATTTTCTAATATTGTTGCGAAAATAAGTTTAAATATAAGCCAAAAGCTTAGCAACATACATATATGCCATTTGTAATGTTGCAGCAACATCAATATGACAATAAACGTTGCCGCAACATACGTTGTGAACACCAAAATGCAGCGTAAATATCGTACGTGATTTTCTTATGTTGGGTGGAAATTTCATAAAGATGTTCTTGCAACATTTTTACTGTGCGTTGTAGCAAACTTTTAGTGGCGCGAATATGCATGCAACTATCATAACGGCAAACAACAGGTAGTGGCAAGTATTGCTACAACACGTTTTTCTGTAGAGAAATTTAATTTTCTATTGTTCATTGCTATGTTTATGTAACATTGCTAAACAACATATGCTGCGAATAAAAATTTTGCGGCAACATATGCAGTCTTGCGTCCAAATTATCTTCAGACGTTTTTCTATCGTTGTTCATTGCTAAACTTTCTTAACATGTTTCAGCAAATCATGCTTCCTTACTAAAAGTATCCGTCTAAACTAGCTTCAGAGGCCCTGTTGGTATTATATATACCACAGGCCAGAACAAACATTTTAATATAACAGTTCAGCAAAAGCTAAAAATCTAGTATTTTGCAAATAACGGCCTTTACTTCTATAAACACACCAAATTGTCAAAAATTCATTTGTGAATTAAATCAATAAACTCGTCATGTAAACGAGCCCTTATTCTTCGTTTACTACCGTGTCAATATGTTGTTGCTCACGAATTGCGTTCGCTCTGACTTCGACATTGTTGCTGGCAACATTTCTGTGTCTCTAACAAACTGCAATCCCTTCTGGAAATACATACATTAGGGGACTCACTATAATTACCACTGCGAGGCAAGGAAATTAAAAAGCGCAATAATACTGACTTAAAAGGCTTCAACAAAAAATAAAATTAAAATATAAAAATAAATTTAAAACTGAAATTAAGTAAAGCAGCAAAATTATCATTAGTGACTTAAAAGGTAGAAATTAAAACGAAAAAAGCTGAATGACATAAAGCAACCTAAAACAATACGGAAATTGTGTACCTAAGTTTATAATTAAAAGTACACAAATAAGAGAACATTAACTTGCATTGCTTATATTAAAATAGCAAAAAAAAAAATTTTAATAATGCATAAAATATTGGCTATCAGCAAACACATGAGTTGTTTTAAATAATTTCGTTCATTAAATTTATAAATATACAAACATACTTGTCTATGCTAAATTCTGCTAGATTTCAAAATTGCATAAAATCTTTGTGGCAAGGTATCGAAATCGCAGACAAGCAACCTTTTGAAATAAAATCATTACCAGTACAGTGCTGTGAGATGTCAAAATATATAATAGATTTAATAATTCTCTGACTACATTTATAGACTTCAAACATTTAAAAAAATATGAACATGTGAAACAGTGAACTGAAAGTTCAAAAAAAAAAGAGAAATACTAACAAAATGTGAAAATTTTATTCAAAACTTGAAAATCAGAAATTCTCCTCCTAAATGTGTACAAAAAAGTTGAAAAACAACTTTCCGAAGTTCGTTAACAAAAAAGTTACATTTGGCTTTTACATCTGTCACTCGATTTAAACTAATTTAGACTGACTCTTCACAGCCTTGACTTGTATTAAGCTGAAAGTTGCGCAAAAACAAAAATACATAAATCATATCAAATTGTAGCGACTAATGAGAGATCTACCCAGATTTTGCTATAGTGTTCATTAGTACCGTGTCCAGTTTCAGAATTTGTTGTCACGAAAGTTGCTTGTGTGCATTATGCAGTTCTAAATATAACTAATTAGACACTCAGAAAATGAATTCCACCGTCAAACGGTGAAAAATTTACAAACTTTTCAATAAAAATGCTAGCTTGTGTTTGAAATATTTTTTTCAATGAAATATATATATATTTTTTAAATTAAAATCGCTTTTCCTCCCTCCACCTTATCAATTAGTGCTTCCGTTAAAAGTTTTATTGCCAATTATCCCTTTACAATTATCGTATAGTTAAAGTTGACTTATAGTGTGTAGTAACCGTTATGTTAAAATATTACATATGAAATGTGTGTAATATGTTGAAATTAGATTGAAATGTATTTTTTGTGAGTGTATGAACATAAAAGCATATAAATAAATTTTAATTGTTTTTTATAAAGTTATATATTTATATGCGGTAGTAAAACTCTTCTTTAGTAGACATTTTTTTTATGTTTGTTACAACTGGTTAACAATTGTTTATAATAAATAATTTAGTAGTTTGACACATAACTTGTTAATACTAAACTCAAGAATACAATAGTTTATAATTATAATGAGTTGATTGCAGATGCTGTAAAATACAATAAATGAATATATAGGGTGTTTAGTAGTTCATCTTTCCTTAAAGCAACAATAAAGCATAATTCACAGTTTGTACCTTAGAAGCGCCTTTAAAAAATAATAATGCAAAATGCAGATAATATTTGTACACTTTTTTTCTATAAAATCAATGCGGACTATTTTAAGTTCTTATTTTTAGAATACAACTTAAAGTTAGCAAGTTGAGCTTTTTGATATTTGTTTTTTAAATTTATAAAAATTATAAATAAAAACATTTGGTAGAAATGATTTATGCAATAAAAGTTTTACATATATATTTTAATAAAATTGGGCAACTCGGTAAATTTTAAAAAAAAAAAATTTCAGATTTAAATTATTTTCTACAAAATTTATAATATTTTCAATATTGTGATATTATACCACAGGGTGTGTTTTTGGTTGAGCCCTATCCAAAGCTTTTCGAATAAAAAAACTTACGACGACATTCAGTCAAGTTTACACAATTTTTTGGTACATTTTACGATTTTTTTTAGAAATTTTTAAATTTTTTTCCTGTTACAAAAATTGTTGTTTTTTTAATTTCAAAAAAGTCTACAAAATGTTTTCAGCGCTGTTAAGCACATTTTTCAGACATTTAACAATTTACCGATTTTATTCCAAAGAAAATAATGTTCAAGTAATGTCAATTAAAAATATAATACACACCCTGTATATACACAATTCGCACTATGTATTTAGCTGATACTAACAGTTAAATATTAATTTTTATAAATCACAATTTTACGGCTTCAAAATTGTAATTTTTATGTTGAAATGGAAATAATTAAAAAAAATAATTAAAATAATTTATAATCAATAAAATTAAAAAAAAGTGATAAAAATTAATGCATAAAAAATAAAAATTATTAAACTAAAATAACTAATATAAAATTAAATGAATATTATAGAATTACTCTATATAAAAAAATGTAAATGAAATAGATAAGTTTTAAAAACAACCAAATAAACTAAAAAAAGAAAAAAGAAAAGAAAATAAAATAAACTAACTTAAATTAAAATGTAATAAAATAAAATAAAAAAATGAAGAAAAATTGAAAACAAAATAAAATAAGAAAAAATAAATAAAATTAAACTAACTTAAAAAACTTAAATCAAATAAGTAAATAAAATAAAATTAAAAATTAAATAATTAATAAAAATTAAATTAAATTAAAGAATAAAATAAATCAAATAAAAAACAGTAAGATAAAAAAATAATAATTAAAAATTTAAATTCAAGTAATATAAAATAAATAGAATTAAAATTAGAAAAATTAAATTAACTTAACTTAAATTAAAATTATAAATCAAATGAGTAAAATATAAATCAATAAAATAAAAATTTATAAAGAAATAATTTATTAAAAAAATTTTATAAAAATAAACAAAACTAAATAAATTCAAATAAAATTTATTAAAAAATTTAAGGCAAAATAATGTATAAACTGGAAAATCAAGTAAAAATATAATAATAGATAAATAAAACGCTCGTAAACTCAGAACAAAAATTTAAAGTTTTTTAACAAACACAAAACATATATTCATATATATTTCCAAATTATTTAATTTCATAAAAAACTATTATTGCGCGTTTTAAATTTTATAATATTTTTTTAGCTTTGTGAGAAAAAATTTTAACAGACATTCAATCTGACTCAAAATCTGTTGTATATAACAATAACTTTCCATAGACCTACATTCATACCTACATACCTACATAAATAGTTCAGCGTCTGAACATTTTCAATTTCTCAACACAAAACTCTAAAAAAACACAACAACACACTTTTTCCCAGTTCAACTAACGTCGACTCTCAAAAATACTTTAAAACTTACCTCTCAAAATGTGGTATAAAATAATTGTGCATTATGATTACGTGAGTGACTTTGATTTCAAAATGCAAATATTTCAAAGCTGTTTTTTAGCTAACCATTAGTAGTGTAGTTAATTTTACTTTACATATTTTTTTGTAATAAAATACTGATTTCATTATTTGTAAATACGATTTACAAAACAAATTAATGTTTAACATATTTTTTAATATTATTAAAGCAAACATTTGTTGGTGTAGTAAATATATGAATTTTAGTTGTATAGTATGCCTACCTACCTTACTATTTTTACTACATACATACATACATACATATTATTACAATAAATATAAATAATTTTTATTTTAGTCCCATTTCACAGTAAAAAAAAAAAAATATAAAAAAATACAACAAAATTTTACGCTAAATTTAAATATATATAAGTTTGTTTGCTTAAGTTTTAAATGAATTCGGATATTCTTGATAAACTAAAAGTTATTTTCCTTGTTTTATTTTATATTTGTGCGCATGCGAAACAATATTTTAAATATAACCAAAAAAAAACATAAAACTTATAATGAGTAATGCAGCAAATTAAAACATGTTATACATTTTTTTTTTAGTTTATAAGTTAATTACTGTAAAAATATTCGATTATTTATTTTATAGAAAATTTGTAAAATAGTGTTTTATTAATATTATTATTTACAAAGGTTTGCATTGTACTAAAAACAAAAAATTACACAAAAAAAAATATAATAATTATATGTATATACAAACAGGTTAGAACAGTTAACGCTTTCTGTTGCCCACAAAATGTAAGAAAAAGATGAAATACATTTGAAAGAAATAAAAGCACTTTTCATTGAGTAAAAAATACATATATTATGTTGTTATTATTTTTAGTTACTTAAAAGTTAGAATTTTACTTTTAGTAGCCGCGAATTAATATTGAAATATAATTCTTTAACTTTTAAACTAAATTTTACTTTTAGTAAAACCGGTTCTACTACAAAATACGTAAATCTTATTAACCCACCCAATTCGAGCCAAAAAAAATTAAGTAATTAAAATTCTCTATAAAAATTAGACTAAAAAAATTTCAAAAAGTATACATACACTACATTAATGATCTCAAAAATATATATACAAATAAATAAGGAAAGAAAGGTTGACTTAAATAAGTGAGTAATTAAAAAATTTAAATAAAAAATAAAACATGAAATATAAATAAAATAAAGCGCAACTAAAATTTACAAAGAAAAAAATTATTATTAAAAATTAAAAAAAATTTAAATTTTAAATATGTACAATACTAAAAACCTATTACTAAGCAATGTTTAAAAAACAGCCGACTAGTTTCTGCAACCCAAAGTATCCTCACTACACCGCTAATAGACCACCTAGTAAACTAACTTTCTACACACACACACACACACATTCACCTAAAAAATAAGCCATATTTAATGAAAAATAAGCACCTACCGCCGCCTATTGACGTCTGAGCTTACTCGCGTAAATATATTGGCTTGTTAATTTTAAGAGTGAAAATAATAAGAACTAATAGTTAAATAAATTAGTAAGATAAAAATTTATATTAAAAGATTTCACTAGCGAAAACTTTAATTTCTGAAGAAATACTAAAAGGGTTCATGCTTAATATTTTTTTAATATCCACCTCTATTTTTTATTTACAAATATCATTTACTATAAATACAGATCGCCAAGAGTTTTTTGTTTCGCTGGTTCTTTGAAAGTTTAGAGATCAGTGATTTAGTTGTTTGAAATGTTTAATGATCATAAGTAAGCTGATAATACTTTTCTGCTGTTAAGTATAACATATAACATAATAGAAATCTGAACGACATACTTAGGAAACGGTTTCTTAATAGGACTTTTTCCAAAATGTATCTTGAACTTGCCGAATACATTTCAAAATAAATTCTGAATAATGAGCTGCTTATTACCGCTTTAATTTACTATTATACTAAGTAATATTTATAAATTATTTTTTACACTGCCCTTAAATATTGCCTTACACATACACAGTAACTGTTCCACAAGTTCATTTAATGTGTTATCACCTGATTGTGGTGTGAAATTAGAAAAAAATCAAGTTTTTCACATTTCGATAGCTTATACCTTTGAAAATAACATACTACAATATTAAATAGTTTTGGAATTAGAGGCTTCTAAAGTGTTGCCACTCAGTTTATTTTTAAAGGCGTGTTTCTTAAAACCACATTTCTCAGATTTGCTTGAGTGATTATTCGGAGATGAATGATCCGATCATCCATACAATGATTTATTAACTTTTTGATCTGAACAAAAGCCGAATGTGAGAACCAGCAGTGGAGAACTATTTTTCTATGTAATTCTTGACGTTCTTACAGTTTTCCTCCTATTGAAGCATGTAAGTTACAATGTTGTCCGGATTTAGGACTTTCCTAGTTAATGTAGACACTGCCTTAAATATCCATAACCGGATAACATCTGTGTAGTATTGTATAATAATCCAACTCGCCATGTTCCTTGTAGGACCTTTCTTTCATATTTTTTATGAGCATAGCCGTCCATCTACTTGTTCAAGTTTGCCATCGTTCCTTCTTTATTTCCTCTTTTGGGATGGTAGCATTTGTTTATTTTTACTTCAACGTCCTTCATGATTTTTTTTAGTTTTAAGATTTACCAATATTAAGATATTGTATTAATCACAATTACTTTTTTTCCCGGTCTTCAGCTATTAACATATTCGGTCTTCTATTTCAGAAGTTGAAAATCTACATTAATTTACCAGCCCGTTATATGATTACAATACTTAACAAAAAATTTTTTTTACTGAAATTTTTTGCGTTAAAATTTAAATATCATATTTGAAGGTCGCTAAAAATTATATTAATACTTCTTACAATTTGCTGGTTCAAAATTCAGTAACATCGCTTTCATAGAAAAAAATCTGTCTCTTCATGGTATTGTATAACTAAATTCACTAAATTTGATAAAAATGTAATTATCGTTAACTTTAAAGAGCTGTCTCTAGATCAGAATGATCGCACAGATTAAATGATTGTGGAACCCTGGCTCGTGGTATAATAACTTTACACACGAATTACAACTTTTTCCATTTTTGCACAAATTCTTTACTAACAAAACACGTACTGACCTTGACCGATATTAGGCTAAGCCTAAAAGTATGCAATATTAAAACTGGGTCAAAGAAACATACAGCACATAGGGTACCTCATAGTTTTCATTATATAGTACTTCTTTATTAGTTGGTTGTTGCTTTACTCTTTTTAAAATTTTTGCATGACTAAAAAAGATAACAGCATGGCTCTTTATAGATTTATAAGTTATATTTTAATATTGCAGTTCTGATGTATTGATATATCTAAGTTAAAAACTACTAATACCGCTTGGGTTATTCCTATTGAAAATTTTTATCAAAATTTATTATTAATTAAGTCCATTAATAATATTTTCGTCGAATTTTTCGCAGTCATGTGGACAATGGTTTTTTAAGTTCCCAACAACAACACAGTATTAGCAAATTAGTAGTTACTAAAAATTAGTTATAGTCAATGAAGAAAACAACGAGTGAAAACAAAAGTATATAATGCAGAATTTACTTACATAGATTTTATTTGATTAGACAAAAAATTGAATTTAAGTAACATTTATTACGATGAATATGTATTGAAATGATAATGTTCCATTAAAGCAAAGTAGTAGACTATATTAGAAAATAGCAACAATAACATTGAAGATAATTAAAGTTTGTAGTATACATAATTTTAAAGAAATTTACCATTAAACAAGAAAATACTTACATATACATATAAATAGTTATAGAAGTTGAATTTTTTTAATGATATTACGGCATATACATACATATAACGGTATATATCAGAAGTTAGTGCTAAGATTTTGTGCAAATGGCAAAAAATCTGCGTTCGAAAGTAGAAAACACTGGGTAAATATATAAGAAAAAGGTTAATAAGTAGCAAAGCAGTTGTAGAAGAGAGGTGAGAAGCGTGTGGAGAAATGAGCGATCTTTGCAGTTGCTTTTGATTTAGAGAATAAAATACAATATACAAACATATATTATTCAAAGTGCATGCATTATTTTGTAGAACAATATATTTGATTATCATAGAGGTTTAACATTTTTCGAGAGACACAAAGAGAGAGAGTGATGAAATCTTTAATAAACTACGAAAAGGTGTAAAGACTGGGCAAAACAGTTTGGGTTTAATGCTTGTGAAAAAGGGCAGATTAGAGGAGAAAAGAGTGTTAAGAAAAGCGCTGAAAGAAAAAGAGTGATAGAAGGAGAAAGCAAGCGAAACAGAAGATTTAAGCAACGAACGCGCTGCGTGCAAAAAGCAGAGTATAGCGAGAACTATTAATAATGTGTAAACCAATGGACTGAATAGGTAAAGAGAAGTGTGGTGAAAATACTTTGTGCTGAGTGTTGTATTGTAAGCTGTGGTGAATATATGTAAACAGCTGATGTGATGTGTGACTATCACATACAGAGTTGCATGGACAGGCAGGCGGTTAAAATGTATATGGTTGAATATGCGGGAAGTTTAGATACAAAACATATTGAATACATACATACAAGTTATACATATTGCTATATTATATACAAACAAATAAATATATATCTAAAACTATATATATAAATCCATGTATATATATATATATATATACATATATACATATATGTATATTATGGTCAACAATTAATATGTACTTAAAAGTAATGCGAATAAAGTAAAATAAAGTAAACAACAAAGAGTAAATAATAATACAGTAATAATAAAAACAAAGCGTTGTTAAATTTTAAAATAGCAAAAGTGAACAAAAAAATTAAAAACTAGAAATAAAAACTGAGAAAATGTGAAAAACAAGCGTAAATAGCAAAAATGAATTAGTTTTGTTAGTTGTTACAAATATTAAACGAGTACTAAGTATTGTAAGGCGACAAGAAGCGTAAAAGCAAACGTACAACAAGTTGCCAGTGGATAAATAATTTATATACTTATATACATATATGTACGTATATAAATTAAGCAAACCGAGATACTAGCGAAAAGTGTTGAAAATAAAGACAGTAACACTCAAGCGTAAATTAAATTGCACTGCGCCTGCGCTCAATAAGCTAACGTGTAAACAATAAGCTATTAGAATGACAGCACGCGAACTTAATAAGACAGTAAGGAATGTGTTAATAATATAATAAGTAGCGAATGAATTTAGTGTGTAAACGAAGAAAATTACGTAAAGAACTAAAAAATGCAAAAATAATTGGCTAAATCAAACAATGCTAACATACTAGACAGCAGTAAAGCGCAAAGTCAGCAAATGCATAAAAATATCAAAAACTTTAAAAATATTAAAATAAATTGCAGCAAAATAAATGAAAATGAAATAATTAAATTTGAGAGCCTTTATTTACATTTTGACAAAGATTTTGCATGGTATACAGTTATATGGATATACTACTTGAAACCCAACAAGCATATTATGAGTACATAGCTAATTAAGTTTTGAAAAAATACAACACAAAAAGCAACAATTAGATGGAAATGCATTCACATATTTTGTGTAATGCTGAGAAAATGAATTTGGCACATGCTTACCGTTATGTATAATGTATGAAATAGCGCAAATCATCTAATATTTGCTTAACTACATGAAGAATTTAGAAATTGAGCATTAACCTGAGAACTAAAACTATTTAATTTCACCAAATAATTATGAAAGAACAGTTATATTAATATAAATATGTATGTACATACTAACACCTAAATATAACGCTAACACTAACAGTGACATTGAAGAAAGCTACTCTAGCCAAGTCTACAAATATTTTCAAAA